TAATTAACTTCAAATGGTGATTACCAGTAGTATAATGCACAACTTTTATATGCAAGGCAAGATGCGGTTTGGGAAGAGAGAGAGGGCTCACGTTATATGAGACTTTTTTTTGATCATCGAGTATATTGGACCCGTGGAATGCCACCTCACTCTATCCCTAGAGTTCACGAGTATGCATGATGTCTTTCATATCGAGATGTTCAAGAGGTACCACCTTTAATTCTTCTTATATTATTCCTCGCGATGAGGTGCAGGTACAGGCTGACATGACTTATGAGGAGGTTCCTGTAGAGATTCTTGGGTTGACCGATAAGGTCTTGTGTACCAAGCCAATTCCCATAGTGAAGGTACAAAGGCAGCATCATACCTCGAAAGAAGCAACGTGGGAGTTGGAGAATGAAATGAGAAAAAAGTATATGGACTTATTCGAGACAAAGTTAGGGAAAAAATTTTTTTAAGATGGGGGATGTAACACCATGCTCATCACTGTACTTAAATAATTTAAAAATCTTATTTATTAGGGCCTTTGGCCATGTTAAACTTAATTAATTTACACTGTTTAATATTTATCGTATTTCATAATTTTAGTTTATTTTTATTTATTTTGTTCTTATTTAATTTAATTTTATTTATTTTATTTAGTTTTAAGTCTAACTCATTTAAATTAATTATAAAAATTAATAAAAAAATAAAAAAACGGCGAATCGGGAAGAAAATCCTGTGAGGAGAGAGTTTCCCGCGCGGGTGCTGGGCACTGTACACACGCATGCGCGCACAGTAGCAGCAGGACGTGGGCACAGTGCACACGTCTCCTCCGCGCGTACGGCATCAGCTCAGGACCTGCGCACGTCCTGTCGTGCGCAAGCAGGCAGTTCACGCATCACCTCACATGCAGACAGGCACCGCACACTGTGCGCACACCGTCTGTGTAACAGGCTTGTGCAGATAGGCCCCATGTGCCTGGGGCCTGCGCTAGTGCGCTAAGGCCCTGCACGCGTGGCAAGAGGCTTGTGCGCGTGCAAGCTAGCCTAGAGAGCGCCGGCTAGGACACTGCCACCTCGGGCTGTGCGCCACCGCTGCTTCAGGAGGCAAGCTGCCACCGCTAGTGGAAGAGGCCCTCTTCCATCTTTTTTGTGTCGAGAATCTTTTTTCTCCTCTTTCTTCATCGAAATTTGTCACTTGGTGCAAATCTGACGGTTCCAAAACTCTATAAATTGCCTTTCCCCTTTCCTTCATCTCCACTCTTTCATTCTTTTATTTTTTAAAGATTTAAAAAGAGAGATAGAGATAATAGTCTAGTGAGATAAGAAGAAAAAGAAAGGAGAACGGTGAAGGAGAAAAGATCGAGGTTTTGATAAGGAATCTAGTATTTCTTTTAATATTTTAAGAAGTATTTTTAGATAAACTAATTTAATATGATTGTGATTTTGCTTATTTTGTATGCCTTTGTGTTCAGATGAGTCGAATTGTTCTTGTTTTCAAGCATGCTATGTGAATTGCAGACACTTGATGAATTTACATGTAATAAATATAATATGTAATCGGTAAAAGTAAAAAGTATAAAAAAAAGAAAAAGAGAACAGTGGAATGAAACCTGTATGGTCAAAAGTATATTTGTGTTGACATGCATATTGCATCAAGTATCTTGTTAGACTTTTTATCTCTGAGAGGTATCTATTTCCCTTACCCTCAGGGTATCTATTTCCTCATCCCCTATCTGGTTTGAAAAGATGTAAAGAGGACCACTCTCTGTGGATGACGGCGTACCCTCTGATGAGAGTGGTATCACACTATCTGTAGGGGTCACCCATGGCTAAGTAATATCGTGACTGTAGATATCTGTTAAGGCTACTATGGCTAGTACGGTTGTGGTCACAGATCGTACCATAGTTTGGCCAGCTAAAAATGGGCTTGAGTAAATTTTTTTATCTGTATCTGATCTAGTCATTCCACTTGGGTAGTTGGAAATCTGTATCTGCCCTCAGATATGGAAGTTGTAATGACTTCGTGAAGCATGACACAAAAATCTGAGCATTTCGTGATTTATTTAATTTTCTCTATTATCTGGCATGTTGTATGTTTGGTTGTCTGTATTTACGTACAGTTTCCTTAACAAATAAATGGTTTTTTATAATATGAGATAGGTAAACAAGGATGTTAAATGTTAAGTTAAAATAATTAACTTTTGAAATCTTACGATGTTAATTTAATACTGTTTTTCTTACTGAGCATATGGAACTCACTCTTTCTATGCGCCCACCCAGATAAGGAAGAAAGTGAGGAACCGCAGATTGATCTACCCTTGGAAGTCTATAAGGATCCTGTGGATCCACAATCTGAGTGCATAACTGTTCCCCCACTCTGATGAGTCCAACAGAATAGTGAAAGAAGTGGCTCTTATGTTTTATTTTGTATTTTGCAGCCACTTCTGACCTCAGT